CGTGCCTCTTCTCTCGTATGATGGAGGCGCTGACGTGCCGCAGGTACGGCCAGACGAACTGCTTTGTGGGCACGGCGATCAAGTACGGTCTCTTCGTGGCCAACGACACCGAGGCGTACGTGTGCACCTACCGCGCCGCGCGCAACATGGCCTTCCAGGGCTGTACGCTCCCGCGGACGGAGATCACGCAGCTTGCCGAGGTAGACGGGGCGGCGCTCATCGGCACGCGGATCAAAGCTCCCTTTGGGGTGAACCCGGAGGTGTACGTGCTTCCGATGGAGAACGTGCTCGCGACCAAGGGCACGGGCGTCGTCACCTCTGTCCCGTCTGACTCGCCGGACGACTACGCGACCCTGATGGACCTGCGCAAGAAGGCAGAGTTCTACCACATCGACCCTTCCTGGGCGCGCTACGACCCGGTCCCCGTCATCCGCACACCCGCGTATGGTGACCTTACAGCGCCCGCGCTCTGCAAGCAGCTCAAGATCCAGAGTCAGAAAGATGTGAAGCAGCTTGCGGACGCCAAGGACCTCGCGTACAAGGAGGGCTTCTATAACGGGGTGATGCTCGTGGGCGAGTTTGAGGGCGAGCCGGTGCAGGAGGCAAAGGCCAAGGTTAGGGAGAAGATGATCGATGCGGGCCTTGCGTTCGCCTATGCTGAGCCGGAGGGACTCATCATCAGCAGGAGCGCGGACGAGTGCGTCGTCGCCCTCGTCGACCAGTGGTACATCGACTATGGCGAGCCGGTGTGGAAGGAGCAGGCGGAGAAGTGCGCCCTTCGCCCCCTTCCACTGCTGACGTGTGCTGACAATGACTAGGCTGCTCGGCAAGATGAACACGTACTTTGACGAGACGCGGCACGCGTTCCAGGGCACGCTCGGGTGGCTCAATAAGTGGGCTTGTGCGCGCACGTACGGCCTGGGCTCCAAGCTCCCTTGGGACACAAAGTGGCTCGTCGAGTCCCTGAGCGACTCGACGATCTACATGGCGTACTACTCTGTTGCTTACCTCCTGCAAGGTGCGTCGCGGTTTTGCGCTTGCGCGTGGAGTTTGGGACTGATAGCCTGCAGGCGGCGTCATCAACGGCCATACTGTTGGCCCTCTCGGTGTGAAAGCCGAGCAGATGACGGACGAGGTGTGGGAGCACATCATGCGAGACGGGCCGTACCCCGACCCATGCCCGATTACCAAGGAGCAGATGTCGGCGCTGAAGCGCGAGTTCAACTACTGGTACCCGATGGACATCCGCTCCTCCGGCAAGGACCTGATTAACAACCACCTCACGTTCTGCATCTACAACCACGCCGCGCTCTTCCCCGAGGAGAAGTGGCCCCTCAGCATGCGCTGCAACGGCCATCTTATGCTTAACGGGAAGAAGATGAGCAAGAGCACGGGTAACAGCCTCACTATGCGCGACAGTATCCAGAAGTTTGGCGCGGACGCCACCCGCGTCGCTCTTGCCGACTCTGGAGATGGCATCGAGGACGCCAACTTCGAGGAGAACACGGCGAACGCAGCAATCCTCCGTCTACATACCCTCATGTCGTGGTGCGAGGAGATGATCGAGACCAAGGCGACACTCCGCGCTGGCCCAAAGACCTTCCACGACGACGTGTTCGAGAACCAGATCAACAACCTCGTCGAGATCACAAAGAAGCAGTATGAAAAGTATGTGCTTGTTCACGCACCGTTCGTTGTATGATCTGACGCATTCGTGTAGCACAAACTACAAGGATGCGCTTAAGTATGGCTTCTACGAGCTGCAGTCCGCCCGCGACTCGTACCGTGAAATGACAGCTGACGCGGGCATGCACGGCGATCTCATCGAGTACTTCATCCGCATCTCAGCCCTCCTCATCACCCCAATCGCACCGCACTTCGCCGAGCACGTATGGACGACCGTGCTCAAGCAGCCCAAGTCTGTGCAGCTCGCTCTCTACCCCGTCCCCTCCAAGCCTGTCGACCACATCATCCTCCAGTCTGCAGACTACTTCCGTGACGCCGTCAAGACGATTCGCGACTATGAGATGTCCCTCGGCAAGCGGAAAGGCAAGAGCGCCGGCCCGGCAGTCGACCCGTCCAAGCCCAAAGCTCTGCGTATCTTCGTGGCGAGCTCTTTCCCAGAGTGGCAGGAGACGTGCGTGAAGGTGGTGAAGGAGGCGTATGACGACTCTACTCATTCTGTCGATGATGCCAAGGTGCGACAGCTCCTGGGCGCTGCAGGTCTCATGAAGGACAAGCGCGCGATGCCATTCGTGCAAGCCTTCAAGGTGAGGACGTCTTTGATGATATAAACAACGACAACTGATCCCTTCTGCAGAAGCGGATAGGACAGTTCGGGGCCAAGACCGCCTTCAACCGGACGCTGCCATTCTCTGAACTCGAAGTTCTGAGGATGAACGTCTCATATCTCCAGCGAACGCTGTCCTCTGAGAAGGTAGAGGTTGTGCTTGCCAACGAGGCGCGAGCAAACGCTGGCCAGCCAGGATACGTCGCCAACGTCATAGATACGGCGGAGCCAGGATCCCCGAGCTTCTCGTTCTACAATGTCTGATGTTTCACTTAGTGTAGGAGTTAGAATCTAATTTGGTCCCATTCATTCATGGATGAGACACCCCGCCCGAATCCTGCATCGGTAACGCATGCCAAAACAGCAGTGTGATGTCTGGAGATGTTCCCGATCTGCACATTGACGCACCATCTGTGAAGCCAACTTCGTCAAGTTGCGTGGGGAGTGCCGAGCCTAAGCACAGAGCACGGAACTGCGGTCTCACCATGTTGCACCCATTCTGATCAGTCCTGTTGGCATGTGAGCTGTCTTAGACACGTTTGGGCCAAAATTTCCTGGAAGCTGTGGGCAACCGAAACCAAAGGCTTACGTCAGGTTCTGCGCTAGTTTTCTTCACAAAACTGGATAGCACGGCGTCGGAAGGATGGGTCGCGTGTTGTGAGGGTGTACTTGCAGGCCATTTTAGCACCTAATAGTATCCACGTCTGTGGCCTAGTGGTTAGAACGCAAGTAATTTAGCGTCTAATCGAATGGTCACAGGTTCAAATCCCGTCACGGCCGGCATTTGAATTGCGAAAGGCAGCGGGAGCAGTCGCAGCCCAGACGGGGCAAGAAGGTGTCGGCATCTTTACCCGGGAAAAAAGATGTCGGCACCTTCTGGGACAACAGGGGGAGCCGACTGGAACGAGACTTGACTTACATCCCCAGAGGGGCCGGGATAAGGCCCCCACAGCAAGCACCGCAAGATGACCGCCCAACCAGCAACCAACCGACAAGAAGGCCTTCAAGTTTTGCTATTCTACTTCGTTCCACTCGCTCTGCTTCATATCCCTAGCATTCGAATGCACAACCTCCCTCTCTCCAGCAGCCATCTTGCCCCTTGATCTGCGTTGATCTGCATCACCGACACGGCGATCTTGCACTCTACACTTGTACATTCTAATAATTCAATGCACTATCATACGGCTGAACACTGCAATCACACGGCTACTCGGCTCAGGCGGCGGTCTGCTTGTTCCCAGTCGTCTCGCTGCAATCCGCTTCATCTCCGTGCCCATTCCCTTGCACAGCTCCAATGCAACATCTCCTGCCTTTTCACATTTCGACAGCTGCTCAACCATGCTTATCGTTATGGCGAACAAGGAGGCAGGACATCCTCAGTCCAGACCAGCGTACTGAGTCCTCTGCTTGCTATCATCGTGGGAATACTGGTCGGCTTGCTTGATCCGTATGCCACTGCGATCCTGACGAGCTCTACGCCATAGGTTCGGTTGACCGTGATCACGAACGTGCGCTGGACAATGCCGCGTGTGGCGGGCCCTCGCCGCATTGCTGTTGCCGAAATATAGTACTTACATTGTACGATCACGCCGTCCCTCTTCCACAGCAGATGCTCACGCCGTGCGTCGTGGGTCGCGTTGACGAGGATCCCGATCGCGCCTATTCTCTAGCAGTCGCGATGGAGGAAGATATGCGGCTTATGACGTGTCACAGATGATAGATGTCAATTCTATGTGCCTCGCAGTGGATGGGAGTACGGAATGAGCCATAAGTATCTAGAGTCGGATGAACGTTAAGGAGATGCTCTACGTTAGGGAGTTGACGAGATCCGACGGAAATGGAAATGACGTGTAGCTCTATTGTGGTGTCAGATTGACCGCTTGCAGCTGGCGGTGAAATACGGATTTGAGAAATAACATGCATTGAGGAATCAGGAATGCATCGCATACCGTTGGCACATTTTGTACTATATCACGCCAAGGAAAACGCTCAAATCGGAGGCGATGAGGAGGGGTGTGATATCTGTTCGTGGTGCTCTGGGGCGGATGGGCACGCTGCGGAATGAGCGCCTATCTGTGTCGTGTCACTTGTGGCCGCCTCTGCATGATTGAGGAACACGCATTCATGTGCTGGACGAACGCGGGATCATAGCTCCTGTTCCTCAATCCCGACGGAGATCAGAACCGTTTGAACATGGACTGTCGGAGTGCGTGGAGGGCCTCTGCCTTGGCCAGAAGGTGGGCATCAGTAGCCGAATCGCTCATAGCATAGACAAGTCCCGATCGCGAGCAGTGTTCAGCCGTACGACAAATCATTGTGTTCTTGGCAAGTACAAGGCGTAGAGTGCAAGAAAAGGTAGGCTGCTGTCGCCGTGTCGCTGGTCGACATCGATACAGAGGATCCCTGTTGTAGACACGCACGTTGTCCATTTGAATGCTAGGGATACGAAGAAGAGCGAGTGGAGCGAAGGAGAGTAGCAAAAGTTGAAGGCCTTCTTGTCGGTTGGTTGCTGGTTGGGCGGTCATCTTGCGGTGCTTGCTGTGGGGGCCTTATCCCGGCCCCTCTGGGGATGTAAGTCAAGTCTCGTTCCAGTCGGCTCCCCCCGTTGTCCCAGAAGGTGCCGACATCTTTTTTCCCGGGTAAAGATGCCGACACCTTCTTGCCCCGTCTGGGCTGCGACTGCTCCCGCTGCCTTTCGCAATTCAAATGCCGGCCGCGACGGGATTTGAACCCGCGACCATTCGGTTAGACGCTAAATTACTCGCGTTCTATCCACTAGGCCACGGACGTGGGTAATATTAGGTGCTAAAATGCCCTACAAGTACACCCTCGCAACGCTCGACCCATCCTTCCGACGCCTTGCTATCTGCTTTCGGGCAGAGAAACCACTAGCTACTTGAACCGCTGAACACCGGGTGCATGCCCGACGTGAAACTACGCTACAGGTATGAGACAACCCACTGCGGTATGCGACAGCTGATCGGACTAACTTCGGCAGCGACGTCGATCTAAGGGAGGGACCGTGTGCGATCGTATCGGGCGACCCACAACACCATAGCTATTGGTCTGTTGTTCCCCATACTCCTCCCGTGTCATGTCCCTGCCCATCATCCCCCTCTCCCTGCTCCTGCCATCCTCAGACCCCGCTTCACGGCTCGCCACCGCTCAGCGGCTGCACGCCGCCTGCGTCGAATACGGCTTCTTCTACCTCGACCTCACAGGCTTCGCAGCACCGGAGGAGACGGAGGAGCTGCGAGCGCTCGCACAGGCGTTCTTCGACCTCCCTCCGGAAGAGAAGGAGAAGATCTGGCTCGGAAATGGAGACTGGGCGCGCGGTACGTCCCCCTCTTTCCCTCACCGCTGCTGCTACTGATAAGCGCCGCCGAGCCCAGGCTACCAGAAACTTAACGAGAACGTGACTCGTGGCAAGCCAGATGCGCACGAAGCACTCGATTGCTACGCCCCATCGCCCTTTCCTCCCTCTCCGCCGGGTACACCAGGAGTGGAGGGCGCGGCGGGGCTGCGCCCGCTCAGTGGGGAGAACCAGTGGCCGCCGGATCCGCGCTTCAGGGAACGGTTTGAGCGATGGGTAGGGAGGATGAAGGAGCTGGGTTTGGTCGTTATGGAGGCGTACGTATCCCTCCCTCTCTCCCAGGGCTGCGGGCACTGACATATATGCGCGATGCGTAGGATGTCCCTCGGCCTCCAGCTCACCCCCGCAGAATGGACCGCCCTCCGGCGGCAGGTGGAGAACAGCTTCTGGGTGCTGCGCGTCATCGGCTATCCCCCGCTTCCACAGGGGCACGACGGCTTCTCGTGCGGTGCGCACAAGGACTACGGCTGCCTCACTTTCCTCTGGGCGGACGCGACGGAGGGCGCGCTCCAGGTGTTCGTCCCCTCGCCTGCGTCCACATCTACTTCCCCCGAGGCTGCGAGCCAGGCTGCCGCGGCAGTGGAGGCTGAGCAGGGAAAGCTGGATCTTGGCCCGGCGGTCGAGAGCGGTATACATGGGACGTGGATCTCCGCAGATCCGGTGGAGGGGTGCGTCGTGTGCAACATCGGGGAGATGTGGGAGGTGTGGACGCGCGGTCTGTATAGGAGCACGCTGCATCGGGTGCTGCATCGTGCCAACAACTATCGGTGCGTACTGTTACTTGCGGACTACGTTTCTCAACTGAGAGTCTGAAATAGGATATCGTGAGGGAACAAGCTATTCTCAAGGGAATACATCGCTGACCGCGTGCTGCAGGATACCATTCTTCTACGAGCCCGCATTCGATGCGCTTGTTGCTCCCCTCCCGGGCGTCGATCGGCTGCTCATGTCCATCCGCGCCTCTCCCGACAAGAGCGAGGCTTATGCGCGTGCGTTGCTTGCCGAGAAGACGGCGTATGAGCCTGTGGTGTATGGGGAGTTCTTGATGCGCAAGGTAGGCGGGAATTTTGATAAGACGGGAGAGAAGGAGAGGTATTAACCGGGCTTGGGGAGATCTTTGGCGGAATAGACTGTAAGTTGATGTACGCTAATGACCATTAGGTGAACGATCTGTCGGCAACTGTAGAGGCCGATCCTCTAGCAGCATTGCCTCGGCGCGAAAATCCCTTTCTACAGCTGATACTTCCACCTCAGATCCCTATCCCCAAGGCGGCGTCTCTCCTCAACATCGTTCACACCCTCTTCCTTCTCCAGCCCCTTCTCGCCCCTCTCGCTCAGCACCCTCTCCCTCCTCTTATTCTCCTTATTGAGCCAGAACCAGAGCCACCCTGCCACGAGGGAGCCGAACACCAAATACGCCATAGCGATTCCATGTGGCGTCCTGTATAAATTCCCCGCCAGCTCCGGCCGGTAGACCAACACGCCGACAATCGCACCCAGGTCGCCGATCGAGATCTGCAGTGCGCATGCCACCGCGCGCTTCGTTTGGCTGCTCACGTTCTCGGCGGGCCAGCTTAGGAGGAGCGCATTGCCTGTGTAGACGCCTGCGGTGGCGAGATGCACGCCGAAGTACTGTGGGCCGGCTGTGGAGGTGCTGACCAGTAGGATGTATCCTGCCGAAACGGTTTAGAAGGGCCCGCTGTGCGAAAGACACGCTTACCAATGAAGGAGACTCCGGCGGCGCCGATGATGAAGGGCGCGCGGATAGAAGCTTTGTAGGAAGCGTAGCAGACTATCCAGATGCAAGCTGCGGCGAGCGCATAGGGAGGTACCGTCATCAGCTGCGCCTGCCAGGAGGCGAAACCAAGTTCCGCGATGATGGTCGGCTACGAGCGCCGTCAGGGTCAGGCCATGCCAGTAGTTTGCCGACATACCATGAACAAACTGAGGGAATAGAGTACGAACCTGGAAGAAAGGCTCAGTAGCGTGACAATGCCCTCCCTGAAACGTAGCTCACGCGAAGCCATGGAACAGCAGCGCGTATCCCCAAACCGCATGGTCGCCAAGCGCCTGCTTCACACCATCCCAGTTGAACGGCTCGATATCGGCTGCGTCGCTGTCACTGCTGAGCCTTGTGAGAAGATATGTGCGCTCTGGTTCGGTAAGCTGAACATCCAAATTAGTGGCATCCTGAGAGGTTAGTTGGATCACTTGCGAAAGTTGCGGAGTGGGGCCACGTCGGGACGATGAAATACTACGCAACTCAGTCGTTGACCGAGTCCCGGGGGAAGGGTCCCGCGCTTACCGCAGACAATGAGACGGCCACCGTCAGGCATCCCTCGAGGATGAAGATCCAGCTCCAACCCCTCCTCCCGCCCACCCCATCCATCAAACCGATGGCGTACGCCAGTGCGCCTCCAAACGCGCCCGCGACGGCCGCACCCCCGAAGAAGATGGCGATGCGGAAGTGCCTCACGCGGCGAGGGTAGTACATCGAGAATACGAAGATAGTGCCAGGGAAGAGGCCAGCTTCAGTCGTCCCCAGAACTGGATCGCAGCGTCAGTAGGTTGGGCATGGAGGCTGGGAGGGACGTACAGAAGCGGACGGCATAGAGCCCGGCTTGGTTTGACACAAGGCCCTGGGCGATGGAGGTGATGCCCCACACTGCAACAGTGAGCAACTCTATCAAGCTTTTGAGAGGCAGTGGCACATACAAAGCGTCAAGGTTGGAAGCCAGATGCGCGGGTTAAACCGCTTCAGCACGATGTTGGATGGTACCTCCCAAATGACGTAGCCGACAAAGTAGATCGCGAGCGCCGTGTTGTAATTGTCGGCCGCCACGTTTAAGTCCTGATTCTCATCCAGCAACAACCCGGTGCGAGACTACAAGAGCCCTACGGTAGTCAATCCATCCAGCCTTCAAGGGGGTTAGAATAAGTGCTGGTACGGCAAAAGCAGACCTCACTTTGCATTGCCAATGTTGGAGCTTCAAGACTGACTTAGCACAGCACGATAGCAGAGGCGGAGACGACAGTTACCGATCCAGGAAACTTAGTAGATACAGAATGGTCAGCATCGGCAGCAAACTTCATTCTCATCAGCGTATGTAAGCCCAACGAAAGAAGACCGGGTACCGCACTTCAGATCAATCTTCCTGATGAGCTTCGCCTCGTCGACTTCGGACGCGAAGGCATCTGCAAGGGCGGCGTCTACAGTGGCAGGAGCTTCCTTGACGGATGCCTCTTTCGAAGGTGCCTCAGGCACAGACGGGGTCATGTTGATGGGCTACGAGAGAAGAGAAAGAGCGAGAGCGCAAGAATGCAGGACCATCTTTCCCAGGGCTAAATACCCCGAGGAAAGAGTTGTGCATTCTCCCGCTCCCCCTTGCCCGAGGTGAGGCAGCGCATGGACCGATAACCAGAATCGCACCACTGCGATGCATTTCCAAGGTTTCAGGCAGTAAAATGTCGGATAGCACCAGGGGGAACGGCAAAAGTCCAATCGATGACCCAATGTTTGCGCCATACAGAAGCGCAAACACGCAAAGCGCGAGTGCGAAGATTCCCGAGGAGGACCGGGAACCCTGTTGAGCGAGTAGTTCGCTCAACCCTAACCCTGCTTCCTTGTGCCTGCACGTGGCGCCCGGAGTGGCGCAGCCTGACATCGTCGGAAAGCGGCCCTGAGCTCTTGCTGCGATTGGCAACTGTACATCGGTCTTTGCTCCTTTCTCTGCCTTGAAGTGCTCGGACAGACAGGATGGAGGCATTGTTCTTCAACGTATGCACTATTTGTCTTATTGTATGGGTGAGATATTGAAGGATGTTCTCACAGGTCGACAGCGGCTTCCTCGAAGGCATCGTCCGCGGCTACAGAGCCGGGTTGCTCACGACCTCGCAGTACCACAACCTGACGCAATGCGACACGCTCGAGGACTTCCGCATGCAGCTCTCCCAGACAGACTACGGGAACTTCCTTGCCAACGAGCCCAGCCCCATTAGCACGAGCACTATTCATGCCAAAGCGACGCAGCTGCTCGTGGACCAGTTCAACTACCTTAGGTCGAATGCTGTGGAACCGCTCAGCACTTTCTTGGAGTACATGACGTGAGTATTTCCATATCTATTACAATATATAGAGTGCGCTTACTCGGTGAAGATATGCCTATATGATCGATAATGTCATTCTCTTGATTACGGGGACATTACACGAGAGGGACACGCATGAACTGCTCGAGCGTTGTCATCCTCTTGGGGTATTCGATACCATGCCCGCGCTCTGCGTAGCGACGAACGTGGAAGAGCTGTACCACAGCGTACTGGTGGAGACACCGTTAGGTATGTACCTCGCCTGCTCACTTGGACGATACGGCCTTATTGATGGTTTCCGCAGCACCGTATTTCCGTGACGCCCTCTC